CCGGAGCAAATACTCCATCATTTGCAACTTGCTGGTTTCGGCGTGGGCCCTGGGACCCCACAGGAACTCGTAGCGGGCAGGGTCGCTGCCGGGCACCTGCTGGTACTCCACGTACCCTTCCTGCACCCAGACCTTGGTGAGGAGCTCCCTGGGCTCCCCATAGAGGACGTGCTCCTGGCCGGCATACACCCCCATGACCCCCAGCGTTTCCCACACCTCCTGCTCGGGGGCACGGTCGCCATGCAGGAGGATCACTCCCAGGAGCACCACCAGGAGGCCGGTCTTGGGTACTCCCTCCTCACCGCTCAGCATCCCATCATAGGTGAGGCCCAGGACGGGGACCAGGATGTAGGAGTGGTCGCTGGGCTCCACTTCCTTCACATCCATACCAAAGACCAGCTGCAAGCACTCGGAGGCTTGGCCGAAGATCACAGGGAAGGCATCCTGGGCATCCTTGCCGACGACCTCCAGCATCTCTGCCTGGCTGGTGGGCTCCTTGGTGTGATACTTGAGGAGCAGGAACTCCACCAGGTCGGCCAGCTTCCCCTGGAGTATATTTTGGAGCCCTGGCTGGGCTTCGTCGGGCTCCTCGCAGGGGCTTGACCCCTCCTCATCGGAGCTGCTGGAGCCCGGGTCAGGCTGCCTCCAAGCAGTGGCTGCTGGGGCAGTAGGGGAGGGACAGGCACTCAGAGAGCTCTGGGGAGGACTCTGGAACCCAGCAGCAGACCCCTCCTCCGAGGGGACTAGAAACAGGGCAGAGCAGGAGCCAGATGGGGCGGCGGACTGGGAGGAGGCCAAGGCGGAGGAGGAGGAGGGGGCGCGGGGGACCTCGTCCTCCCCAGCCCCCGACAGCTGTGCCTCCACCAGGCCCTGGGCCGGGACTGGGTCTTCCTCCAGCTTCCAGAGCTCACTCCTCTGACCCAGGGGCATGGCCTTTGTGTCGGGCTGAACCTGAAGAAAGGTGTGGGACGGCTCCTCAGGGTGCAGCCCAGGCAGCAGAGGCCTGAAGTCCCGGAGCTGACAGTGCGCCGCGTCGGACTTGGGTGCTGAGGGGTCCCCTCTGGGGTGGGACGGGCGAGCCCCTGGTTCCATGCTCAGAGCAAGTACGTCACCTTGACCACTGGCACTCACCTGCACCTCGCCTGCTCTGGGACCTTAGAGGCTACTGCCTCAGACCTAGGCCTCCACTCTGAGTTCTGGAAGCCCCTGGAGGAGAAAAGGAGGAGTCACTTCGGGGTGCAGACACAGAGCATGGCACACGGGCCCCAGTGGGGCAGGAGGGCTGGGGCGGACTCTGGGAGGTCCCCATCAGTCAGGGCTGGGCGGTCCCCTCCTTGGACCCTCAGGGGACTGCTGTTTCCCCTGGCAGGGCCTGGGCCCCACCCCCGCAGCCTGAGGCCACAGGGTCATAGCAAGAGGGCGCAGCCCTGAGACCCCACAGAAGGTAAGCGAGGGGGCCCGCCTCTGCCCATGCCTGCCAAAGGTCTGAGGGCTCGTCATGGAATCCCAGGGACGGCCAAGCTCGGGTGTCGTCGGTGCTGGGATGGGTCCACCTCTCCGTCTATACCTTGACCCCACGGAAGGTCTGGAAAACTCCCTGTGTTGACCTGAGGCCACCCTCCTGGTGCCGAGGCCCCATCAATGGGAGACGCCAGAAGGAAAAGTCAGGAGAAATAACTTGGCCCACC